AAATAGAGCATAGCACACAGATTCTGAAGTCACCATGCTGCAGCTTGTCCTGTCACAGACCTTTGAAAGGAAATAATAATTACAACTCATTATCTACCTTGAAGACATGCTAAATAGCATAAGAACAGGTTCCAAATCAATAGAATCCTATTTGAGATATTAGATGCATCACTGGTTCACTGTAGAGGAAAGTTTAATAGCTTTTCCAAAAAAAAATTTCAGCTTATGTTTTGTCTACTTACAATGTTCTTGAACATGTATTCCTGCCAAGAAGAAAAATTAAACTAAATTCTTTCACTGTGGCTAGCACGTTTCTACTTTGTTCTGATTAATTCATAGATCTGTGCCATGAAAGAATTTGAAATTGGCAAGCAAAATTCTAAATTAGACGGTTTAATTGTCAAATAAATGTTAAAACTTGCATAAGGGGGTAGGGGGAAATGTAAAAATGTAGACATGTCGGCATTTGAAACCTATAAATGGGTATTTTCTTGTAGGTCGTGCCAATCTAAGAGAAGGAAAAAAAGAAAGACCCTAGTTCTCTCATAAAATAACTGGGTTTTAAAATTTTATTTATATTTTTTTAGGAAACTTGAAGAAATCCATTGAATCATATAATTATTCAATGAAAATAAATATATTAAAAATTTTAATTCACTTCATCTTCTTCAATTCTTCTTAACACATTCTCTCAGAAAATAGCCACATAAATAAAATGACCTACATATGTAAAAAATCATCTGAAATCATTTTTTTCCTACGTGAATTAAATCAGTGTGCAAAAGATTGGTTTTCAAGGAAACACAAGATGGATTTTATCAGAATAATTTCATTCTCCCAAACTTGGTTTATTTGGAACATCAAAGGAAAATAGGGAATGAACATTTATCTGTTTATTTTGTTTTCTTTGATCATGGGATTTTGTAATGCATTTTGATTCTTATGCATTCTTATTTCTCAATCCAGATTTTATTGTTTTCCATTAGCTTGGAAATATGACTCACCCATTAAACTTAAAGAATTTTAGTGCCTTGTATAGAAAGCTTAGCAATTTTTCAAAAGTGGGGCATCTTTTATCAGACTTGGTCTAGAATGCTAGGGTGTAAGAGTGGGTACTAACTGTCCAAAAAAACATGGAGGTTAGAGGTAGCACACACTGTTAAGAAACCCTGAAACTTTCCAGCTTCTCGAACTATCTCTCCCATGATTTCCATATCTTCTACTTCAAGGAGAGAAAAGGAAGGAAAAAGGAAAGAAGGAAGGAAGGGAGGGAAGAAGGAAGGAAGAAATTAGAACAAGAGCATTAGGGGGAAAGGCATTAATTTATCTACTCATCAGCTACAGCATTTGATTTCTCATCAAGTGCTAGTCCTATACAAGATATTAGGGGAAACTGGAGAGAGCTATAACACCTGAAGGTGTAAGGAGCAATGACAGACCCGTCTGCATCTATTGAGAGCCTCAGCTGGAGCCTTTGGTTTTTCCACTGAAGGTCCTGACCTGGGCGTGGGTCAGGCTCTTTCTCAACAGCAAAAGCTAGCAGTTTTGATGTTAGAAAGTAAAGTGTATGATTCTGGGTGCCTAAGCCTTTAAAGAAAACTTTAGTGCCGGATCTAGAGTCCCTATAACTGGGAGGACATGAAGTGTTGGAGGTGATATCTAGGCTCCTTTTCCCACCCTATCTCCTTCTAAATGGAATCTGGCACTTAAAGAGATACTTTAAAAATGATTCTGGGATGAAGAAGGTAAAGGAGAGAGGCAAAGAGGAGGAAGGAAAAGGAAAGGGAGGAGCAGGTCTTCCTGGATCTGCGCTAAGTCAACCCATGTTCCCAGGGGCCTGGTGTGCCAGTGCTGTTCACTTGTGCCAATCCGGAGGCCAGATTGTCTTCTGTATTAAAAATATTCCAAGTCACCAAGAGCTACTTTTATCTAAGTCCACTTTGTAGAGGCATTAGTCCTTTAATTTGAAGATAAGTTGTTGTATATGACAAAATTTGAGATGAAAAGGAAAGCATTGGTCTGGTGAAGGTAGTCAACCATTCATAGTTTTGAAACTAGAATATTTTGCTGACAAAGAGAAATGTATTTCTGAGCCTGAGTTCTTAAAAAAAAAAGAAAGAAAGAAAGAAAAAAACCCTTCCATCTTAGTCCTTTAGCTGGGCTATTTCTGCCAGCTCCCCGACTATGAACACAACACATTCTTGCAATTCATCACTTCCCTTGGCTCAAACCAGCCTTTAAAATGGTTGGTGGCATATGCTTCTCATTAGCTCTGCCTCTACCTCACCTGGCTGCTCAGGCGGTCTCTCCTGCCCCCTGCCTGCCCGCTGCCCCCCTGGCTCCAGACCCATGCTCCTGCCAGTTTCTCTTACCAAGCATCGCAGCCTGCTGGTATGGCAGGAAGCAAGCTAAGGAGAAGGAGAAGGAAATAGTTCTTTTCTTTTGAAAGTAAATTCTGTGGTTTAACAGCCTCTCGTTTGGAAATAAGACCTAAGAAAAACAGAAAGCCAAGGACAAAACCAAAAACATCAACAGAAATGGAAAAAACAGGAGCTGCTGACTGGGAGAAAAGGAGAGAGGGGGGCAACAAAAGGTTAAGGAGAAAACATTCCCATCATGATGCCATTTTGGCACCAAGTGTTTCTTTAGGTCACCAGTTTCTGTCTTGATGTATCTTTAGACTATACAAGGAAGCCTGCCCCATTTGGAGGGTATTTTCTGTTTAACTCAGTCATCTGAATGATATACAAAACAAAAACACCTTTTATTTGGTGAATTCTTTTCCCTCTGTGACCCAGTGATAAATTAAGAATTAGATCAAAACAAAAGGCTTTTGGCTTAGCTCAAAAGATACTTTCTATACAAAATGATTTTTTTTGGTCTTGTTTTCTCTTTTGTGTGGTAATTTTTAATTTTTGACTAGTAATTTTAATACTTGGATTACTTTCTAAAGTAATTGAAAAGATAGATTCTCTCAATGTCTCTTCACAGAACAATTGAACCACTCAACTCTAACGCCAATTTATTTGTACCACAGAACTTGACGGTGTAGGTTGGTGGGCATCTTTTTTGAAATTGGTTATTAGTGAAAGGAAGGGAATGTTGAAGGGGTAAAGCCCTTAATCTTTGATGACATAGAAGAGAATCATAGAAATCTGAGGTTGAGAGGCACCTCAGAGATTCCTTAGTCAAGTCTACCCACCACCCCTCACAGATGAGGGAGCTGAGGCTGAGTGGTTAAACTTTACACTGTCCCCTAGGAGGAAGGGACAGGACCAAGCCACTTGTGGCAGGGCTCCTCAGCCTCACCCTGCTCTCCTTCCACAGGATGCAAGCACTATATTCCCTCATAAATACTTTTGTGCCAATATCAGAGGCAGAGATGAGCAATCTGCGGGTCTTGAATGGCTTTTTGTTCCATATTGAATGATTTGTATAGAGCCTGATGACCAAAAATGACTGCTCAGTCCTGGTGACTGTGAGATCCGTGTAACCTAGGAAATCACCAGACACAGGAAAACTCTCAGGAGATCAGAAGAAGGTCCCTCTTCCTTAGTGCAGCTCTATCCCTGCCCTTTCTCCTGCTCATCCAGGTACGAGGCTTGCTTAATGAAGTGCCAGCTGGATATAGGTCGGCCCCTATTCATTCCCTCAACCAGCTGCTCGTGTGTGGGCAAAACCTCCATGACTGCATGCCCAGTGCTCCTGTCCAGAGGATGTTCATGGACTCAGAGAATCATATCAAGTGCACAAGCAGCCCTGAACCAGAGAAAGTCATCCCAATGTTCTCCTCCTACAGTAGTTGAAGACCACACACACACACACACACACACACACACACACACACACACAGAATTTCATTTTCTGGGATGTAAATGTATTTTTTTTCTTCCTCAACACCTCTCACTTCCAAGAGCTGAGCCACATTCATCCCTGAACAAAATTGCACAGTCAGACAAACTTGCCAAAGGACCCTTTTTCCTCTTGATTTACCTCTTTTCTAAGTGGCTAAGTTTCACATTCATCTGGCTTACCAAGGTCACAATCCCTTCTGTTAACTTATAATGGCTTTATATATTTATTCAAAATATATTTACCAAGATTAAGGTTTTTCCACAGGGCATTTATATTTTAATAGACATTCCCAAGCCCAGCACAACACTTGGTACCGAGTATACACTCAATAGTATGAAAAGGAGAAGAAAGGGAAGGATGGGAGGTATTTTGTACCCAAAGAATGGTGTAGCTCAGGCAGTAGGCAGGGAAGGGGGCAAATGAAGGCAAGGAGCTTTATGACCCCCATGCACGTTGTGGCAAATAGGCTGTGTGTGTTCTGCTCCATTTTCTCTAAAATTCGAAGTACTTCATTGCAACCACTTGAAAAGCTGCTGCGGAAACCTGGGTTTTACCTCTGCTTGCCCTGCCAGATATCCCAGCATTTCTGCCAGTGAAGATTATTTGGATCCTATTCTGGTCCTCAGCTTCATTTCTGTTGTTTATCCAGCCTCCGTTAGCAACACAGTCTTGGGTTTCTACCTCAGCTTTAGTCTTCAGACTCCCAGTAAGGTATGATTTCAGGGACTTCTCTGTGTACTCCACACTGCCTTTGCACCAAAGCCCTCAGGCCCTGACTCCTCCTTCACTGGACAGACATAGATGACTACTTTTGTCTATTTATTTTAAGTCCATGAAAAGGAGATGCACAGCTCCTACAGGTTCTTAGAGAATGTTTTCCTCAAATGCCTCTGTTGGAAGTCTCGTCTCAGTGTCGTTCCCATGAGGATGTTTACCAGGTGTCCTTCTACTCCCCTCAACTAGGAGTTCCTAGAAAGAATATGCCATGCCTTAGTCACCCCTGCAGCATCTCTGTTACTTAGCATAGGGCTGTGTACACAATAATTGCCCCTCAGATTTTTAAATAATGAATTATTCAATCATGCAATCTATTGTTTATTTTTTGTTGTTGCTTAAACCAAGAGAAGTTAACAGGGATTTCTCACCACTTCTGGTCTTCCTCTGATGGGAAAATTGCTGTATTGATGCAAATTACTTCACCATCTGTGTGCTGCATAAGTTCCGGAATCCTTTCCCTTTATATGGGAGACCAGGTTTCCAACCAATGACCATTAAAGTACATTTGGCAGCTCTTGCAGCTCTTTCCCCATAGCCCAGATGGCAAAGTTTTTTCTTCCTTTATTTCTTGAGGACTTTTATAAGGGTTCTTTATGTTGCTCCTTCTTTTGAAGTATGTTTCTGTTCCTGGACAGAGGAATTAGACCTTCTGCTTGGACCTCCCCGTCCATGCTCTCTAGTCATTATGCTGATCCTGTAAGAGGAAGCAAATTTTGTTAGTTAGAGCTCAAATCCACTTATTAATATGTCTGATTTGTGTGTGTGTGTGTGCGTGTGTGTGTGTGTGTGTATTCCTTCCTGTAAAGTGATATTGGTATAGATTGTTGCTCCTTCTCTCTCTAGGTTAATGTAAAAGTGAACTAGTAAGCAAAAGTGTTCTTTGTGTGATCCACTAAGAACCCAGTCCAAGGCTGTACCTGGACTAGACTGTTAAGAAGTAACTGAGAATGAGCCTCGTGTTAGCAAGGGTTTAATTGAGGCTTGAGACATTGGGTAAAGGAAGAAGATGGAGAAAAGCCTTCACAGAGAAACAAGCTTGAGATAAAGACAAAAGGTAGGTTAAGAAACAATGGTGAAGAAGTCTAGTTTTATAAGCTAAAGATTTTGGACTTTATACACTAGGAAATCACATTGGGATTTTAACAAAAAGTGACATGGTTGTAGATTTAAGAAAGGTGGGTTTGACCTCAGCATGGAAGACCAGTGGGGATTCAGGTTCAGTGTAGGAGACTAATGCCACTGCATAAGTCTAGACCAAGACAGACAATGGACCCTGGAAGGACAAAGGGTAGATATGATAGACATTTCAGAAGAAAGTCATTCACTCCAGTTACTCGGGGTTCCTTGCTGGTTCTCACACATAGACACTCTTGCTTCATGAAGATTCCCATTGCCTGGCATATTCTTTCTCTTGGTTACCATAATTTGCCTTCTTAGATCCTTCAAGCTTTTGCTTGATTATCACTTTTTCAAGGAGTGCTGCCCTGACCAACCTCCTTAAAACTCATACCCTCACCAAAGGTCATGTATCAGAATGTTCACAACAGCCATATTTATGTAAAACACTAAGTGCCAATCAACAGTTGGAAGGGCAAATAAACTGTGGTAGAATCATACACCATATTATTGTGCAGCAACTAGGATAAATACTTGATCCACAGTCACATGTAACATGGTTGAGTCTCATAAAAACTGTTGAAGAAAAAGTAGGTTGATTAAAAGTGCATTATGTACGATTCTGTTTTATATATAGAAGTACAGCACTGAGCTCCCCTACTTGAAGTCAGAATAGTGGTTACCTTTACCTTTGTAGTAACTGGAGGAGCACAGTGAGGCTTTGGGGCTTCTGGGAATGTTTCTTCCTTGTGCTGATTACATTGGGTTCATTCGTTGTGTGAAAATTCAGAGTGGTACATTAATGATATGCGTATTTTCCTGTGTATGTATTATATTGTTCTTCCCCCAGCACTACTCATCTCTCCTTTGCTTTATTTCCCTACAATACTTACTACCTTCTAATATGTTACTATGATATAGTATTTATTCTATTCTTTTGGAATGTAAATTCCAGCCAATCAGGGATTTTTATGTTTTGCTCACTACTGTATCTATATCACTTTTACGTTTACCTGTCACAGAACAGATAATAGAATTAACAAATGGAACTATTTGAATCAGAAAAACAAGAATAAAATAGGCCAGGCTTAGAGATCCAAGTGGAACCCTGGTTTGAGGACCTGTGTTGCTTTGTCAGTTTCTCACTTCCAAGTGCAGTGGATAGACTGCCAGCCTGAATTGTGATGATCTCTTTTCTATGTCATCTTAAGGCTCCTTTTCAAAGCTGCTTCTGGTCTTTATTTAAGCCTTTTTCTTATCCTGGAATATTTATCCCATTTTTCCCATGTCAGAAACCTTTCCATCTTCAATGTCCAGCTCAAATAACCTCTGCATAAAGTCTTTTTAACAGCTGCAACCTAAGTTCCTCTAGATCTTCCTCTGGTCCTCTTAAGGAGTTCTTTTCATTCATTTAACAAGTATTTATTGAGCACCCATTAAATGTCAGGTACTGTGCTAAGTGCTAGAAATACAAAGCTGAAGAAGAGAGGCATGTCTTTCATGGGGCTCTGTTGCCATATGGTAGACAGACAATAAACTAATAAACAAATACTTATTATTTTGGGGTGCTTTGAAAAAGTTAAACAAGGTACAGAGTTAGAGTGGTGGGGACTGCTGCTTTATGTAAGTTACAAGGGAAGCCTTCTCTGGCTTGTCAACACTGGAGGAGAGACCCACATGAACTAAAGATCATGAAGAAGAATATTCTAGGTAGAAGAAAAAACAAGTGCAAATGCCCTGCAGTGAGAACAAGCTTGGTATCAATCTTGCATGTGAATTCCCCGGGATAGGGCTTAAGTGGCCTATCACATTGTTTTGGATGAAGAAAGTTCTGAATGATTGAGTAACCAAATTAAAACACTGAATTTTTCTCAATATTTAGTTATACTTTAATGTGTATTTTTCTTCGATCAGCATTTCCTAAGATGAGTTCAATAGAATACATCCCAAACTGAATTTTGTAAAATCTTGTTACACCACACACATACACGCACGCACACACACACACACACACACACACACACAAATGATTCTGTGGTCAAATCAGTGTGAGAAACAATGGACTCAAATATATGTATCAACAGAATATAGGTGTTTTACTCTGGGACTTAGCAACCAAAGTCCCAGAGTAAAACAAACAAGCATTAAAAAATGTTACTTCACTGTTTTTCACCACATCCAGTCTTTTCCTATGGAACAGACATTACTAATGCATAAGACAATAGAATTCTATAGAATTCCATTCAGAATATGTTTCTAAATTTCTTCATTTTTATATTGTAAATTTACTCAATCCCTGATATTTACCTGACTCATATAATTTTAAAAATCAAATATAGATACCATAATATTACATTGTGACTCTATTTATGATAAGAACATGGATCTTCAATGTTCTCTTTTCTAAATTAATATAGTACATATTTTCACAGCTCCACCCTGCCTAATTTTAATCTGTATCTAGTGATCTACTTCACACTCTCAGTCAAACCCTCTCAGTATATTTTGTCGCTGTTAAGACCAGGAGTTAAAATATCAAGGGGCAAGTTGGTAAGCTGTGAAATAAACAAACAGGAGTCAAGGAAACAGAAACAAGGCTCAGTGAGCACTCTGGGATACTAGCACTTCCAGGCTGTGTGGATGCCTTTGAATGCCACTCCCCGTAGGAGAAAAGATCCAGAGACTTGCTGTTTCTTTCTGTATATTTTTGGTCACTTCCCCTTTGCTTGATCTGCACTGCATTATTATGACAACCTGAAAACTTAGAAGTTGTCATATCAAACTATGTTTCTCTGCTCCCTGATTGCAGATGTTTAAGTGTTTGTTGGTTTTCCATGGTCACCAGCCAGATGCAGGTACATGCCTCAGTAGCAAAACTAAATTTGCAAGCAGATGTCCAATAAACTTGTAGCTGTCTTACAACTGTGTGTAAGTGTGTTTGTCTTGAAATGCAAGTGGCGAACGAGAGAGCAGGAGCACCTGGACTTTTAGACAAGTTTGGCCAAAGATCTTGTAGCATGGGTGATTTTTAAAAGGAGAAAAGAGCAATTATTCTTATTTGATTCTTGGAGTGTCATTTAGCTTTACAGATGTAAAGGCAGCAGAGAAAAATGCAAAGGCAGAGTTGTTTTTTTGTTTTTTTGTTTTCCTGAGGCATTAGTTGCTCTGAAGAAAAACAAGCCAAAATTTGCTTGTGGGCAAAAACATCCCAGAATGCATCTGGTGATTGGACAGAAAGAAAACACTGGCAAGGGCCCAGGTGTGTCAGCTCCCAACGACAGCGCAGGAACAGCCCAGGCGGTGCTCTCAGACGCTGATCGAATTTCCAAGGTGGATAAGGTTCAAAACTGTCTGCTCAGCTTTCACTTATCTAAGACAGTGCTCCAAGTCTAGGAGGACCGTTCTTTGGACTGGGAACGGAGGCAGGGAGAAATCTCTTTGGTGTTGTTTTACCTTGTTGGAACTGGCAGCAGCACACCTGGATGTTAGAAATGTTATGGTCATTCCTGGAGAATTTAGGGCAGTAAAAATTATTGGGGGATTAACCATTTTTAAGGATTTATAACACAGCATGTTGTTTACAGCGTTATGTTTACAAGGGAACTTCGAGGTTAAATCTCTAATTTATACAGTTATGTGATTCAACCTCTTCTTGAATCCTAACATCTAATTTTGCCACTTACTAGCCAAATATGAGATCATGCCAAACCCAAGAATCCCTCTTTACTATCCTGTGGTGGGCACCTAAAATCTTCTCTTCTACACCTAGAGTTTTCTCACCACTCACTGCAGCTGTTAACAGGGAGGTGACCAGGCCAATCCCAGGGTGTGAGTCAGGGGAGGTGATTGTGTGTGTTCTTTTCCACTGTATCCTGCACAGAGTAGTGCTAAGATGAATGAATATTCAATAACTCCTAGTTACGAGAGGAATTAAAACCCCCAGAGTGAACTTAAAGTGCTCTTCTGCTCCTACTTAAAATTTGGGGCATACCATGTTTTCCTCTGGTCCTATGCAGTAGCCAGGATTATTTTTATCCCCACTTTTTTGTGTTTCTAATGGTCTATGCCATTCTGGTAGGCTGAAAACACCCATGAGATGAAGGATTTTCTGTTTGTCACTTGCCTACTTCACATGTAGTATCTCAAGGAAGTAGCTACATTTTCCACAAACTTCTTTAGTTAAACATGATATTTTGGTAAAGTAAAAAAAAAAAAAAAAAATGGTGTGAGGGTTCTATCCCAGCCACCCTTTCAGACCCTTTCACGCCGAATCAGTACAGCTGCACCAAGAAGTACACAGTACAAACCTTAGTTCACAGATCTCTCTGTGTGTGAAGCAGTGTTGGATTTCAGGAAAGAGAAAGCTCTTCATCCTCTCTTGTGTAAAGGGAGACTCCCTGGATGAATGCATGGAGTCTTAGAGAATCCTAAGTTGAGAGAAGGCTGAGATTCAAGAGTATGGGAAAATCAAAGTAGTTTTTTTCTGTCTCTGCGTCTCTCTTCTGAGATCTGATGGCCACTTGCTTCACTCTTAACTGAAGTTTCCTCTACAAGGACCTTTAGGTCTCTATGACTTCA